TTTGCTACGCGCAAACGTTCTTGGTGCGCGGTTCGTACGCACAAATAGATGTGCTGATGCTCCTGACTGCTGGCACCTCGACTCACAAGTCGGTTGGCGCTAGTTGGCCGGCTCCCGTTTAAATTAAATATAAAACTTGGACTCTTCGGTTTAAAGGTACGCGGTCGAATGCCGCCAATATATTTTTCACTTTTTGACTTAAGCTGCAGCTCTCATACATATGTCAGGGTCGCATTCTAATATCGTAAATTCTTACGTACTAGTAGTAGATTAGCTTTAAGGCGAATTCATATAAGGTGATTTATAGAGGTTTTGTAGGGTTGCAAATTGTCTGCTTTTATCGCATTACAATAGCTCAATTCTGTGGCCGCTACAGATTGCCTAACTAAAGGTGCTCGTAAACGATGTGAGTAAATACCTTGAGAGTTCCGCCATATTGGTCTGAGATATCTCATGGGTGTTTACACGTACACGGATTCTCACTGGTATTTTGTTCTTATGAGAGTGTTTTTGGTAAGAAAAATCTCACTCGTACTCATGTCTGTTTACACGAGCAGCTCTAACGCGGTTTGAGAGTAAAATATGTAATAATAAATGAACTTATGCAAGAATTACACAATACAAGATTTGCAGTGACAAAACGAAACAAAAGGAAAAGGGGAAAATAAGTGGAAATAGAATAGCTGAATTTGCCGAATTCGCGAAGAATAAAGTAAGGGTACTGTTGTTTTCTCTACATTGCGATAATTATGTAATATTTTGTCATTCAGGTGCCGTGAAGAATGTTGAGTAGACGCAAAAAATTACTTTTGAGTTTCCTGTCCCTATATGAAGATAGAAAACAACAAGAAGAAGAAAGTGATAATTTATTTTACGTCGGTCCATTTCTAAAAAACTATGAATTATTTTAATATGAGTTAATACACATCCTGAGAACTCTTACACCCAATGTATTCAATTTTGTTTTTACTTTTTCAACTTCCAACTCAAGCCAAATGCAAATGTTCCCAACAATAGCAAAATGATGAATGGTAAATGCATAGCAAGATTTAGATAAGTACATAAGGTGGCGAATTTCGCAGGTCCGTTATTACACGATGTAGCAAATGAAGGTGGCGCTTTACGGACCGCTAACCCTCCCTTCGTTGACTTGGCAGCATCCACCTACTCGATGATGTCATAAAATATCTTTTCATACTGGGGATGCAAATTAAATTTTCTAATTGTACATATTTGCCGAAAAAATTGATCTTAAATGTAGATAAATGTACCTAAAAAGTAAATATGTATTTTTATATGTATAGGTTTCTGATAGTGGGTGGTTATTAGGGTGGTCCAAAAATTCATGTGAAAAAGTAAGGTCGGAATTTTTATGCTCTCACCCCTACCGAAAAAAAATATTCCCCTTATTTTTTTATTTTGAAATCAAAGTATATTTATAGGTCGCTCAAAGTGCCCAAAGTTTTCCATGTATTTTATATGGGGAAAAACCACTTTTCGTGGAAATGGTATAGGTATAGAACAGTTAAAAATTAATATTTTTCTACCAGAAAACCCTGTTTAACTGCAGGAGATTCCCAATAGTAATACCCAATTGTATATTTAACCATATTGCATTTTATGCTCTCACCGCCTAGGATTGTTCTATACCGAAAAAAATATTCCCCTTATTTTTTTATTTTGAAAACAAAAAATATTTAGAGGTCGCTCAAAGCGCCCAAAGTTTTCCATGTATTTTATATGGGGAAAAACAACTTTTCGTAGAAATGGTATAGGTATAGAATAAATAAAAATCAATATTTTTCTACCAGAAAACTCTGTTTAACTGCAGGAGATTCCCAATAGTAATACCCAATTGTATATTTAACCATATTTTCATTGCAACTATAATTGATAGGTCCGCCAAAAAGCCACAAAAACCCCGGAAAATGCAATGGGGCGACCATTAAAAAATCGTAAGTATTAAAAAATGGTTAAATAAACAATTAGGTATTATTATTGAAAGTCTCCTGAAGACAACCAGAGTTTTCCGATCGGAAAATACTAATTTTGAAGAATTTTATACCATTTCTACGAAAAAATATATTTTCCCCACATAAAAATACATGGACAACTTGGAGCGCTTTGAGCGACCTCTAAATATTTTTTGATTTCAAAATAAAAAATAGGGTATACTTTTTTCGATATAGAACAACCCTAGTGGTTATACTTTCCCTTCGGTACCATATATACTTTTGAACTCTTATCAAACACTTTTTGCTATTAATAACAGCCTTAAAGCAGTTCAAGCCAAAACTATATTTTATCCCATATTTATGCCTATTTGTAAAGAAGGGGTGCTATTGGAAAAGCTTCCCACACTAGAAATGCCTATAAAAATAAGACAAAATGCCCCGACAAGTTATTTTGCTATCTTCCAGATGTATCTATAATTGTGTGCTTGTACCGAATATACGTTCAAATTTAAAATCACATGTTCGCGTTTCCTCTTATTCTTTAGAATTTATTCTTTGCTCCCTCATTGCCTTACTTTTATGACATCACAACCGTATGCTCACAACTTGATTTGCGCAATCTTGTTTCCTATCACTCTTGTGTTATTAGGCATCTTACACTGTATACGGCTGAGAATACAAATTTTCAACGCGTAGCATATGAGAGCTGAGAATATGAGTGAGAGTGTAAGAAAACTCTCAAACACCCTTGTTACACGGGTAAGAATATTTCAGTGCTGAGAACTTATGAGAACTCCACGATAAGAACCACGATTGAGAGAATACATTCTTGGATAAGAACGAATACCAACTCTCATTACTTGTTAGACGGTGAGAATGAGAGTGAAATCCTATTCTCAAGGTATTTACTCTCATCGTTTACGAGCACCTTAAGTCGTATTAATGAGCAATTACACTATACGGCAAAAACAACGCTCTTTATGGGTATTGGACCAAACCAATTTTTTTTAAGAGATTGAATAAGGTAAACATGTAATTTCTCTGTTTTCGAAGTTAGCCTCCGCAATCCAGATATGAGCTTTCGAAGTTCAAAATAGGACACTTGGTAAAAAATTAGTTTTAATTACTGTATGTAAATAACTAAACAAAAGAAAATACAGATGTAGTCCGCCTTTTGCTCTAATTTGAGCGGCATATAACTTTTTTTGTGCAGACTATGTTACAGGTGCTATAAGGGGTCAAATGTCAGATCTTCAAACATTAAAAACCTTATATTTCAAACAATTTTGAACTAATTCATAAAAAATTCTCTTCTGATATGCATATTTGCATACTTCGTGTATAAACATTTGAGAAAAAACACTTCAAAAAACAAATACCAATTTTTTATAAAAAAATATTTTAAACAAAAACAGAAAATTTCCTTTAATTTTATGCATACAATGAACCAAATAAAAACTGGGACGCGGCAGTTTGGTAAGTTTTGGCTATTTTTACCTGGCTTATATTAGCTTGGGATGTAAATATGTAGTAATCATGTGCCTAAAAGATGTAGCGATTTCCATTCTCAAGTCAAGTAGCGAGTTTTTAGTTTTTTAATCTTTAATTTTATGGCCTTATTCATAAAAAATAAAGTAGCTTTAAAAAAGCTTTATAAACTGAAAAATGTATGAAAACGTCATTTTATAAAGCTCTTTAAACCTACTTTATTTTTTATGAATAAGGCCATTATTCTTTAGTTCAGACTTTGTGCAAAAATTATGAAAATTCTGTAAAGTTTGACTAAAATTTCGAATTCTCTGATCAGCATATTTAGGCAAAATTTGGTATGCATTTTTGTACCCCGTTAAATTTTAGTATAATGAAGTACGAATTTGAAGTATCTAGGACTTACCGTTGATTTTTGGCAATTTTTTTTAGTTGACGGTGTTCCGCAATTTTTCCGAAAAAAAAATAAAAATTTCAAACCTACTTTGAATGAAAAAAGAGCTTACGGGGTGTGCAAAGCTCAGAGGTTAGCGATCCTGACTTTGCACATCGATCATGCGGGTTCGATCCCTGCTGATGCCTAGAAAAAAGAAGTCTGATGAGGAGATGTGGTGATCTCCGGAATAGCTGCTATAATTTCTAGCGCTTAAAATTTTCCATTTTTTCCTAATAAACAAATCGTGGTGCAAAGCTCAATAACACTATTGATATAAGGTTTTTAACTTTTTGAAGATCTGAGCTTTGACCCCGGTGATATACCTGTAATATAAGTTTGCACAAGAAAAGTTATATACCGTTCAAATAAAAGCAAAAGGCGCCCTACGTCATCACTTTACTTATTTATTTAATTTTACTTATTTAAAAATAATTCTTTATCAAAGGCCCTGTTAAAGTAATAATTTTATTGGAAAGCGATATGCAGCATCAAAATAATGTTCAAGTAATAACTTTATTAGAAAGCGATATGCAGCATCTGCCGACTTTATTGAAAAAACTAAAAAACGAGCTCCCCACAAAATGCTGGTATAGCCTATTTATACTACTGCCCTAGCTTAGGATAACAGTAAGATCGTATGATCTGAGAAAAGTTAAAAATACAACTATGAATATCTGCAATGTTATACAAACATATGTGCATACATGCAGGTATAGTCTTAGTACAAAAGAAAAAGGAAAGGCAAGCATACAATATAAGAACTACTGCAGGTACATATGCATATACATGTGCATGTACGTACATATGTACATTTTATAAGCGAAAAGCCACAGTAGTGGCTAGAGTTATTATTACAATGTAAATATTTAAGAATAATTACGCTATCAAATGAAATATTTATTGGGATGGCAGGTCTTGCTGGAACATTCCCGGCCCCAAGGACGATAGTTCTTCAATCAGTTCACAAGTTCAGGTACATACTAGTCGGCAAGGCCGTTGGAGGTAATTGTTTTATCGCCCGGTTGAATGGCTACGCCTCGACCCGCAGCCTCAGTGCCTGTTCCGAAAGTATCTGCTGTCTTTGAAATAGATGCTGAGTTGTGGGGTTCCATCGAAGGTAGTTAGCAAATTTTCCGTATTGGACGTTTGAAGTACTTGTCGTTGCATTTAAGAGTAACTACGCGTACTAAACCATCTTGACCTGGATGAACATCTGCAATACGTGCCAAAGGCCACTTGCCAGGCGGAGTTTTTTCATCGTATAATAGTACAAGATCGCCTATTTTAATATTAGCGCGTACTGTTGTCCACTTGGGACGGCTCTGTAGTCTACTAAGATACTCAGCATACCAACGTCGCCAAAAGTGTTGCTTGAGTTGTTCCACCATACGCCAACGACTTACTCCTCTAGTTGTGAATTCAAGCAGCGCTTCGTCAGGAATATTGATGGTTGGCTCGCCAATTAAAAAATGAGCTGGTGTTAAAGCATCCAGCTTTCGACATCTTCGTTTAGAGGGCACAAGGGCCTTGAATTTAGGCACGCCTCAATCTGATACAGCAATGTGCACAGCTCCTCAAAGTTTAAGGCGCGGTCCTGTATTATTCGCTTAAAATGGTATATAGTTGACTTTACCCCCGCCTCCCACAATCCTCCGAAATGTGGTGAAGCAGGAGGGATGAAGTTCCATGTTATGCCTTCGCTAGCTAGAATTGCCTTGAGGTCTTGTGGTAACGATGACAAGTTGCTTTGTTGCATAACTTNCATCCCAATCTATACCTGCAAGCCACAGTTTTTGAAATAAGATTTTGGCAATTATAGTTGTAGGCGCCAGCCATCCTTGTGGATCAAACAGCTTGGATGCATCCGAAAGTAAGTTTCGTTTGGTTAGTTTCGTATTCGCATCAAAGGTAACTGAAAATGAAAAAGAATCAGACAGTGGTTGCCATTGTAATCCCAGTGCCTTTATATAATGATCACTGTTAAGTTCGATTGAATTTGAGCATTCTCGTAGTTCAGTTGGAATTGATTTCAGTAGTTCGGTAGAGTTTGACGCCCATTTCCGAAGCTTAAACCCACCGGAGTCTAATAATTTACAAAGCCGATCTTGCAAATATAAGCCTTCAACTACATCATCAGCCCCAGTGATCACATCGTCAACGTAAATNTTGTGGATCAAACAGCTTGGATGCATCCGAAAGTAAGTTTCGTTTGGTTAGTTTCGTATTCGCATCAAAGGTAACTGAAAATGAAAAAGAATCAGACAGTGGTTGCCATTGTAATCCCAGTGCCTTTATATAATGATCACTGTTAAGTTCGATTGAATTTGAGCATTCTCGTAGTTCAGTTGGAATTGATTTCAGTAGTTCGGTAGAGTTTGACGCCCATTTCCGAAGCTTAAGTCTAATAATTTACGAAGCTGATCTTGCAAATATAAGCCTTCAACTACATCATCAGCCCCAGTGATCACATCGTCAACGTAAATATCACGAAGAAGTACCTCCGACGCGTCAGTTTAAGTTTTTGCCTCGTCTGTAGCAAGTTGCTTTAGTGTTCTTACCGATAAAAAGGGAGCAGGTGTAGTACCATAAGTTACCGTTAAAAGCTTGTAGATTTTAACTGGATCAACTGCTGATTTCCTCCACAAAATTTGTTGGTACTTTTGATGTATCGGGATAACAGCGATTTGCCTGAACATTTTTTCTATGTCAGAATACAGGGCAATGTTATGTTTGCGCCAACGTAAAATAATTTGTACTAAATCGCATTGTAGTGCAGGCCCTGCAGCCAATTCCTCATTAAGCGAACGATGATTACGATACTTGGATGAGCCATCGAATACAATTCGTAGTTTTGTTGTTGTGCTACTCAGCTTTTCAACGCCGTGATGTGGCAAAAAACACGAATTGTGTTCAATGTTATTTGGATGTTCTCCAACTTCACGCATATGGCCGAGTTCTAGGTATTCATCCATGAATTTGCAGTACTCTTTACAAAATTCGGGCTTTTGTAGAAAGGTTCGTTCCATATTTCGCAGGCTTGCCATTTAGTTCTGCTTTAAAAGGCAGCGAAACACAGTAGCGGCCATCAGTACCTCTTTGGTACGTAGAAGAAAAGTAGTTTTCACATGCAAGTTCTTCAGGGGACAGAATAGCTTTTTTGCTTACATTTTCTTGTTCCCAGAAAAGCTTAAGTTGATCGTCGATGTGACAAAAATTGGTGCTAATTGCTGTAACTTTATTAGAACTAGGCGTTGGGCCAGAGAGTACCCAGCCGAAATGCGTGTCTTGAAATAGCAACCCGAAGCTTGTTTTATATTGACCCTGTTTTAAAATCAGGCCATATACATCAGCACCCAGTATTAAATCAATTGGTCGTGATTTGTAGTATTGTGGATCAGCTAGATCGAAAGGCGTGCTGAATGGTAATTGCTGTGGAGTAATATTGCATTGCGGCAAGCAAGTTGATAAACTTGGCAATACGAAAGCTTCTACATTGATAGAAAAGTTTGGCTCGCTTCGAGAATCCAATTGCAAATATGTTAATTTTTTTGCACATCTACTTTGTGTTGGGTTAACTCCATGGATTTGAAGACGTGTGGGGCGGCAGTTTATTCCGTTAAGCTGTATCAATCGCTCAGTAATAAAATAGCCCTGCGAGCCTGGATCGAGTAATGCTCTCGCTGTTACCTTACCATTTGGTGTATTAATGTACAGCAGTACAGTGGCGAGAAGAATATTTGTATAAGTTTGTGGCAAGGGTGCTGACACGTGATGATTAGTAATGGCGTTTTGCTCCGTTGGCTGTATGATGTTAGGTTTTTGGTTAGATAATGCACCATGAAGCAGAGTATGGTGTTTTTGTTTGCACAGGTGACAAGTATGCTGCGAGTTACAGTTTTTCGATATGTGACCTTCGGTCAAGCAATTTATGCAAATGGAATTGCGCTCAACAAACTCCTCGCGTTCTTTAATAGAATATGCACGAAACACCCAGCATTTAAAGAGAAGGTGGGATTTTTTGCAACAAGGGCATAAAATGGCTTTGTTGATGTTAAAAGCCTTTACGCTCGAACGTTGACTAATGCTTGGTGATTTCGGTTTGACTGTGGCGGAGTCGCCAATAGTTTCTAAAGTCCGGAAAGTGGTTTCTAGAAAATTATAGAGTTCGGATAGTTTAGGAATCTCTCTTGTGGCTTTGAGTGTATGTTCCCAATCCTTCCTAGTTTCGGAATCTAATTTTTCTGCCGTTATATGTATAATTAACGGATCCCAGTTAGTAGTTGGAACATCTAAATTTATTAAAGAAGCAATGCATTCCTTCGTTGTGCCGAGAATTCCTCTGATCGCAGCAGGCGATGCTTTTGTACACTTAGGAATAGCGTAGAGCTTCCGCAGAATAGTATCTACTGNGTAGAGCTTCCGCAGAATAGTATCTACTATAGCACGCTTGTTATGATACCTATCTTCTAAAGTCTTCCAAGCGAGGTCGTAATTAGCTTCACTTGAAGAAATATGTTTTATTAAACGCTCTGCCTCACCTTTGACTGAATTTTTAAGATAGTACATTTTTTGTGCTTTGCTGTATAATGTACTACGGTGTACGAGTGACAAAAATAAGTCGCGAAAGGGAACCCATTCTAAATATTGCCCAGAAAATGTTGGCAGCGAAATTTTGGGTAACTTAACATCGCCTGAGGTCGTAACATTAATATCTTGCATTTGAGGACTGACGAGTGTGCTTTGAAATAAGCTTGGCGACACGTTACT